AAAACGTTCTGTCTGCCAGGTACCCGGCTCCTTGTAGGGGAGGGACGGAGGCGGTCGTCTCTCTGCCTCAAGACAGGGGGAATCCCTTGTAAGGACGATTTTTTTTGGGCTTTTTTTTTTTTTTTGGTACCGGGGATCGAACTTGTGTCCTTGCGCTTGCGCAGCAGGCGGCTAAAACACTGAGCTAAATCCCCAGCCCTGTAAGGCCGTTTTTAAACAATAAAATCAAACGCGCTGTAGAGACTGCGCCTCTGACCCTTTACCCTGCACCCCAAACTCCTCTGATCCAAGGCTGCCCAGAAAAACTTTCAGGCCTTCATGGCAGGGCAGCACCCAGGATGTGAAGTAAGGTTCGTCTTCGAAACCCTCGACGACGCTCGGGCGCCATCTTGCGTTCGTTCGTTGGGCCTCGGTGACGACCCAGAAACCACACTTCCCAGCATGCCTAGCACATAAGCGCAGGCGTAAAGAGCTTCCTCCCGTTTCCATGGGAACCCGAGTCTTGGCCAGTGGACTCCACGGAGAGATCCGGTGTTACTCTTTTCGAGGTGCACAAGAGCTATGACCAGGTCTGAGGGCCACTGAGGGGGCAAAATAGGGGGACTGAGGGGAGGGAACGCTGGCACTGTTCCCCAGATCCTTCAGGGAGTCGGCGCGTTCCTGGGGCCGCGGCGCTCTGAGGTGGAAGGGCTCGGATCCGCGTGGGTGGGCGAGGCCAGTTTGGTTCTGGCCGGCCCTGCGCCGCTTGCTCTGCAGCCAGTGGCTGGTCACCCCCAGCCAAGGACCTGCGCGCGGACAACAGGTACTGTCCCGAGACTTGGGCCGAGCGCGGGCAGCCGGTGGGAATGGTTTGTGCCGTGGGTGAACGTGGAGGAAGCGTTGGGCAAGGCAAGAAGCATGCCTGGGGCTGGACCTGGCTCTGCCTCTGATGGACCGCAGACGGGCCAGCTCCCAGCGCCTCTGCGCTGCAGTGCCACCCACCCCTGGACCTCACTAGGTAAAATGATGCTTGGACTGGAATGTCTTGTATCCGTTGCAATTCTGTTGCAGAACTTCAGAATTCTCTTACTTCTGTGTGACCCAGAGAGCAAATCCTTTCATCTTGCTGAGCCCAAATTCTCGTCTCGGTAAACTAAAGGGCTTGAAGCAGATGATCCTAAGGTGCCTTCTGGGGGTATAGTTTACTTACCTACACCTGGGTTCTTTGCTACTCCATTACATATCAAGTGCAAGAAGAAAGAAAACTGAAATGATTTTGAGCAAGAATCTCAGCTTGGGATGTAGAGGCGCAAATGAGTTTGTGACTTCAGGTAGATAGTTATTACACCTGCTGAGCCTCCATTTCCTAAAAACTGGGAATAACAACAATACCATCTTATGGCCTGGCATGTAGCTCAGCAATGCAATGCCTGCCTAGAAAGCACGAGGCTCTCAGTTCGCTTCCTGGTACAAAAAAAAAAGGTACCACCTCAGGTTGTTAAGTGTGTGTGGTTTTTTGGAGGGTTTTCTTTTTGGAGACAGGGTCTCCCCATGTAGTTCAGGCTGGCCTTGAATTCATGGTGATCCTCTTGCCTCGGCTTCCCGAAATAGAGCTTTCCTTAAATGAGCTCTTGTCCACATAACCTGCTTGTAGTGCATTGGCAACACAGCTGCCAGTGACTTTATCCCATTAATTCTTCACCCAAGTCACAACCTCTTGCAGGTGAGACTTCACATTTTCCATTAAGTCAAGTGTTAATTGAAGACTTATGAGATAGGAATGGCAACAAAAATGATGACAGTTAAGAATGATAGTCCAGGGCCAGGGATTTAGCTCAGTGGTTCCAGTGCCTGCCTCGAAAGTGCAAGGTCCTGAGTTCGATCCCCGGTACCAAAAAAAAAAAAAAAAAAAGAATGATAGTCCACCCAAAAAGGATGAAAAAATTCCAGGCACCAAAAGTCAGAAAACATTTATTTCACATGAGTGCATTAAATATGTCCATTACAACACACAACATATTGAATTACGAAGATTCACATTAGATACAACCATGTATGTATGTTTTCAAGTGTGTATTCATGTGTCGTGTCTGTACTCTGATTGGTCGGTCATTTGGCAATAAGTCTCGAGTTCATCTGTTTTTTTGGTACCGGGGATCAAACTATTGAACTTGGGACCTTGCGGTTGCAAGGCAGGTGTCGGATCCACTGAGCTAAATCCCCAGCCCTTGAGTTTATCTGTTTACATAGGCGTTTACCTCTGGTCTAAAGGGACCTGCTTGAGTATTTACAAATACCTAATTATAATTTATATTACCATTTAACCCACAGCTACTACAGATGGGTCCTGAGGACCCAACACAGTTTGAAAAGTGCGTTCCAGAATGAGTTTTTTTTTGAAACAGGGTCTCACTATGTAGTCTTCTGACAGAATGACTATTTAAAAAGTTCCCATAAAAGTATGAAAACTTACAGCAGAAATCCTGGGAATGCCAAGCATGGTGGTGCATGCCTGTAATCCCAGCATTTGGGAGGCTGAGGCAGGAGAATCACCAAGAGTTCGAAAACAGCCTGGGCTACATAGTGAAACCCTGTCTCAAAAAACAAAAAGCAAGGTCTGGGGATTTAGCTTAGAGGTGCTGACCCTGCCTCACAAGTGCAAGGTCCTGACTTCAATCCCCAGTACCAAAAAACAAAACAAAAACAAAAACAAAAAATCCTGGGAATGGAGATTCCTGTTATATAAGAATCCAGACAATCTACTGCAAAAGAAAAAGATGTGCCATATGCCCCAGGAGCAAGGACAGAAAACTGCTATTCAGTGTGACACTTGTAAAATGCCAGTTTGTAATAATCAGTGCTATAAGAAATTTTGTTCTAGGGCTGGGGATTTAGCTCAGTAGTTCCGCTGCCTGCCTCGAAAGCACAAGGACCCGAGTTTGATCCCTGGTACCAAAAGAAAAAAAAGAAATTTTGTTCTAAGTGTTTTGAAAATTAAATTTTTTTTATGTTATAAATATATAATGTAGTTTTCTTATGTAATGTATTTGCAAATAAAAATTCAGCATGCTTTTTTTTGCTTTTATAAAAAACTTAAATGTATGGGTCCTGAGGACACATGAGTAGTATGTATGAAACTAAAATGAGTTAGTAGTTGGGCCGGGGATTTAGCTCAGTGGTTTTGCCGCCTGCTGCGCAAGTGCAAGGACCCTAGTTTGATCCCTGGTACCAAAAAAAAATTTTAAATGAGTTAGTAGTAGCTGTGGGTTAAGTATAATGTCAATAATATTATTTATTTATATTTCATTACATATTAATATTTTATAATTCAATAATCTGCCATGTGTTGCAAGAGACATACTAAATATGTCTGTCTGGCTGATGATCTTAACTGGGGCTTATTTTGGGGTAGGACTTATATTACAAGCATCCTGAAAAATCATGCTAGGGCTTATTTTCTAGTTAGATCTTATTTTGGGGGAAATAGGGTACAGTTTTAGCCTAGTGTTTGCCTATAGTAAGTACTACCCAAGTCCCAGATTTCTGGTAATGTTATTGTATTTAAAAATTCCTTAGCCCTTCTCCTGTTTGTTTATTTGAGACAGGGTCTCACTAGGTAGTTCAGGGTAGCCTTGAACTCACTATGAGGCCTAGACTGCCCTTGAATTCAAGGCAATCCTTCTGACTTACCTTCCCAAATGCTAGAATTACAGGCATGTGCCAGCAGGACCAGCTCCTTTTCCTAATGTTTGAAGTCACTTTCTTCACTTCTGGGCAAATCCATTCTCCTAGGCAGGACAGTTTTAAAGGCTAGTTTTGATGGGGAAGCTTGAGTCTTCTCACCCAAGGTTGGATTCTCAAGGCAGTGTATCTGCTCCTCCAGCTGTGGTCTGGGTTGTATCATTACCATGCAGCATCTAGAAAGGATGCAAAACCCAACTCCACTTAATGGGGAAGATACTTTCCTTCCTTAAGGTTTGAAGAAGAGCTGGGGATTTAGCTCAGTGGCTCTGCTGCCTGCTTCAAAAGCACAAGATCACAAAGCAGTCTTGAGGGCCAATAATGGATACTCCTTAGGCTCTGGTATTCATTCTTGTCTCTCCTTTTCTATAGCCTACTCCTCCCCAGTGACATTTTTTCTTTTTTGAGACAGGGTCTCACTGTACAGTTCAGGCTGACCTTGAATTCACTACATAGCCCAGGCTGGCCTCAAACTCATGGCAGTCATCTTACCTCAGCCTCCCAAGTGCTGGAATTATAGGCATGTACCACCAGCCCTGGCTCCAGCAACATTTCTTTCCCTTCAGTGACCCACCTGGAAGTGGGAAACTGTCCATCATGCCAGTGGATTACTAAGACCTACAGCTGCTGCAAAGAAATGAAGTTGACTTCGGTAGCTTCATCTTGAGGCTGACTTTTGGGGTCTTACCCTTGTCTGGTCCTGCTCAGAAGCTAGCACTGAAGGGGAGCTCTCAGAGATAGGTGTCTAATAACCCATGGAGGGGAGTCCTACATCAGGATCCCAGATAGAAGTGTCTCTTGAGGAGGGCACAAGTACAGGAGATTGAGGACAAGGCCTGTTTAACTCATCAAAGGTCTAGATTCCAATCTAGATTCCTCTTGCTCTGCAGATGCAGTCACTTTCAAAGCAGGGAAGCTGAGAGGAAGATCAGTGGGAGGGGAGGGAATAGAGCACAACTGATTGCATTTTTTTTTTTGCCCTTAGATATGGGATGGTGCAGGACCTTAGGGGGCCACACGTACTTCTTTTTCTGGAGACAAGAGCCAAGGCAAGCTCTTACCTTCCTCCAACAGCCTGTGCTTGCACCTGGAGCCCAGCTCTTACCTTTCATCCTGCCTCTGCAATTTGCTGCCACTCCACTGACTGCAGGTAAGTGCCTGCAGGGCTTATCAGGACTCCTTTGCAGCTAGGTTTCATGAGAAACCTAGTAACTCCAAGCCTGGTCCCGAGAAGAAGTTTTGACAGCTCAGTGACTACTATGGAGGCCTGTGTCAGCTGGTTTCTGGGGCATATTGGTCCTTTATCATTTACCAAGCAAGAACTGCCCCTTATGTGTGATCTCAGCAATAGCAGGAATATCTTGTTTTATTACTTTCACTCTTTTCCATATGTGGGTCTGAGTTCTTAGGTTACAGGTCAAAGAGCTAAATGATGGCATTGGGACTAGCAATCTTTCCTACCTCTGTTATCACTGAAAGAATACCGTCTGGTCACTGAGGAGGTCACAGACCTCTACTACCTGAAACAGCCTTTCCTCCTTTTCTATTTCACCCAGAATTTCCTGCCCATTTTTCTCAGCTTTCCAGTCCAACCCAGTGACTGTCACCAGACAGGGTAGAGGACTCTCTCCCTCTCATGCCTGTGCTACATGCCAACTTGTTCTCATGGTGACAGGTCCTATCCAAGATCAACTGCTCCTCCCCTTGGTTCTGCTAGGTCTGCTCTCACCTCGGTAGCTTTCCTGGATAGCTGAGATAACTTTAGAGAGTTCTGTATCTCGGCTGGAGGACCAAGAATAGGAAAGCTATTCCTCCACTGGGTGAGGGAGAGTTAGCAAAAGTTTGCCTGGTGAGATTGGCATGGGTAGTAATGTCTCAGTCTACCCTTGGCACCCCTGGTGAAGCTCAGGGAGCCACTGAGGTACAGGTATAGAGTGAACGTGACAGGAAAGGTCACAAGGAGGTTCAAGCCCAGGCTAAAGCAGGTCAGAGATCTCTCACCTGTCAGCCTAACTGAAGCCAGAGACAGTTGTGAAGGCTGGGACAGGTTTGGGTGAAAGAGGGTAGGGTGGGGAGAAGAACCTGATGATATGCATCCTAAATGTTTTGTCCTCATCTGACTTGAGGAGACCTGGAGCTGGGTAGTTTTACCCAGAACAGTAGCTGCCTGTCTCCCTAGATAGCACATCTCTTGGTTTGGCAGACTTCCCATCCTAGGAAGGCCAGCATCCTTTTCCACAGCCTCCCCCTCACTGGTGGCTCAGCTAGATGCATCCTCCCACTCTGTCCATGGGCTGCTGACCTCTTCTTCCCAAATGCTCCTATGCTGGGCTGAATTCTGTCTCCTTATGAGGTCCCCACTCCTACCAAACTGAAGCTCTTTTCAACACAGAAATGGGACTTTGGGAGGTAGACTGAGTGCCACTGGACAGAGTAAGTGGTTTGGGAGCAACAGATAAGTTTATTTTGGGATCTATGGGAAGCTGGTAAACAGAGATTGCCCCAACCTGGGTCCTGTGTGATGGGTGGGACTGGCTTTGAGTGAGGCCCATAGGCTGTCATTACAGCACAATTTGCTGACGGTCTGCTCTGGCCCACATTGCCATCCATCACTAGCCTCCTCCTCAACTTTGTTTAGTCATCTCTTCCCTCTTCCTCTCCCTGTTGCTATGTCAGAGCCTTCCCATTGTATACTACTATAAAACTGGGTAAAATATACAAGGATTATTATTAAATTTCATCAAAAGCAGAACTGGGATGGATGTGGTGGTGCACATGTGTCATCCTAGCACTTGGGAAGCTGAGGCAGGAGGATCATTGGGAGTTCAAGGCCAGACTGAACTACATAGCAAGACCCTGTCTCAAAAACAAAACAATAACAGGCCGGGGATTTAGCTCAGTGGCACCATGCCTATTGCAAGCACAAGGTCCTGAGTTTGACCCCCAAGACCAAAAAAATCCAAAACAAAACAATAGGCAGAACTGACTACTGAGAGAAAAGTACTTGAAGTCAGCCCTACATTAACTCTGGCCTCAAATCTCTACCTAGACACCATTTTCTGACCTCAGGATGGAGCTGGAACCCAGGCAGAACACAACAGTTCTATTGAGCTGGTTGGGCAGAGCTCAATGATGAGGACTCCCAAGACAGGTAGAAGTTGCAAGACAGAGGGCCAGAGAGATAGGTGCTGTGCACAGGGAAGTTGCCCCAGGTCTTCATGTGAGTTGTCTATGAATCCTTAGCTGAGGGCTGGGCTGCACATGCACATGGTGGGACCATGTGAGACTGGCAGAGCTACTGCTGCTGCTGCTGCTGCTGCAGGGCTGGGAGTGGAATGGAGATACTGAATGTCATACAGTTCTGGGAGAGTTTGAGTTCTGGCCTCACTAGAGTGGAAACACTTCAATAATATCCTAGACATTGGGATGAGATACCAGTAAGACCATGGTGCAGGAAAGGACAGTGACTAGAGCAGTCTGGCCGACCACAGGTAGAATATGGTAGTATTTGTTTACATATTATCAATGTCTGATTTTACACCATAGTGACAGAGGCCAGATAGCCTGAAAAGCTGAAAATATTTACTGTCTGGCTCGTTACAGGGATCAATTCTTTGCTAACCCCTCATACAGAGTGAGGGCTACTCTCAACTGGGCCTAAAACAAGTCTTAAAAATTAGATTAAGGAGAATTACTAGACATGAATTGCCTGATAAAAAAAAACTCACTGTTGTTTAAAAGAAAGTATTATCCAGACAAGTCCAGCATTCAATAAAAAATTACTAGTCTTTCAAAGAAGGAGGAAAATATGATCCATAACTAGGAAAAAAATAGTCAGTGGAAACACCCTGAGATGACCCAGATATTGAAATTAGTGGACAGTCCCTTACAGCAGCTACTCTAGATATGATTAAGGATTTAAGGGAAAATATGGTAGTCTTAATGGGAATCTCAGGAAAGAAACTGAAACTGTGACAACCCAAATTCCAAGCTAGGCCCAGTAGCGTACACCTATAATCCCAGTACCTTGGGAGACTGAGGGAGGAAGATTGCAAGTTCAAGCCCAGCCTGGGCAATTTAGCAAGACGTTGGGTCAAAATAGAAAAATACTGTGCAAGCGCAAGGACCTGAGTTCAATCCCCGGTACCAAAAAAAAAAAAAAAATAGAAAAATAAAAAAGGGATAGGATTATAGCTCAATGTAAAGTCTTGGGTTCAATTCCCAGACCCTCCCCCGAAAAAGAAGGAAAAAAAGAAATACCAGTATTGAAAAGGGCAATATCTGAAAATGAAAAATCCACTGGATAAGCTTAAAATAAGATTGAAAAAGAAGAGTTGGCAGAGAAAAGGGGCATGAACAATGGAATCACCTTTAAAATGCTAACTGGAAAAGAATTTCAGGCAAGAGTTCTATATTCAATGAAATATCCTTTTCCAAGGGAGAAATAAAGACATTTTTAGAAAAATGAAAAATGAAGGAATTTGTTAGGGGCAGACTTTTACTGTGAGAAATACTGAAGGAAGTTATGCAGGGTGAGAGGAAAGTTGGAAACTTGGGTTAACTGGAAGGAATGAAAAGCCACAGAAATGATAATATCTAGATAAATAGAAAAGAATAGCTTTTTTCTTCTCTTAATTCCCATAGGAGACAAATGACTGTTTGCAGCAAAAGTACTATTAGTGTAAGATATAGTTCGTGACATATGGAGGAGTAAAATATATAATAATAGCACAAAGTGAAGGAGTAAATAAAATTGTATGGTTGTAAGTTCCTTACATTTGTGAAATCTCAAGAAGTGCAATTAGACTCTGATAAATTAGTGATGCATATTATAATTTCTAGAGCAGCTAAAATAAGGAAGTATAGCTAAAATCAAATAGAGATGAAATATAATACTAATTACATTCTATGTATGTTCTAGATATTTGATACGTAATTGTAAAATGTACAATTATATATATTGAATATCAAATTATTTGTAAACATATTGCTTATAGTCAGTTCCTCAAAAGAATTCAGGAAAAGAACAAAGGGGCAAAAAAACATATGGGACAAATAGAAAACAAATAAAGTGATAGACTTTGTTATGGACTACATTGTGTCCCACTTCTCCCCTCAAAATTTTGTATGTTAGGGCCTGGGGGTGTAGCTCAATGGTAGACCACATTCCTGTTCAATCCCCAGCACCAAAAAAGGAAAAAAGAAAGTATGTTAAAATCCTAATCCTGGGCCAGGGATTTAGCTCAGTGGTTTCGCTGCCTGCTGCGCAAGCGCAAGGACCTGAGTTCGATCCTCTGGTACCAAAAAAACAAAAAAACAAAGCCAAAAAATCCTAATCCTCAGTACTTCAGATTGGACCAATGCCCTAAAAAGAAAAGAAAATTTGTGCTCACAGACAAGTACAAGAGAAAGAGAATATAAAGATGGCAATTTAGAGAGAAACTGACAGTGTAAATAAGGATTAAAACGAATAATTGATACTTTGAAATAGGAAAAGGTCCAAAGGTGTAGGGGTGGTGGGAGAGGAAGGGGAAAGGGAAGAAGGGAAAGGAAAAATTATGAGACAAGAAAAAAAATGGAAATGAAGTCTTTGTAAATAGGGAAGGGTGGAGGGGGTGAAGGGCGCACAGGTAGTGGGGAAAAAATAAGAACCAAGATACATCATGTACAGGTACAAACACCCAATGATAAATGTAAACCTATTGTATACCTAAAATGTACCAATAAAAGAATTAAAAATAAATAAATAAATAACAACAACAACAAAAAGATGGCAATTTAAAAGCCAAGTATAGAGAAAGCTAGAACAGATCTTTTTTTCTCATAGCTCTCAAAAGAATCAACCCTACTAATACCTTGATCTCAGACTTCTTCAGAATTGTGAGAAAATTAATTTCTGTTGTTTAAACCACCGAATCTGTTGTATCTTTCAACCCTGACTGGGGGGGGCACCTGGGTAGCAGAAGTCTCACTGAGCCTCTGGCTGTCTGGTCAGAGAAGCACAAGCCCCTTGTGTTTAATTTAACCTCAGTCTCTCTGAACCAGGCCTGTATTACTCTCGTCCATCTACCAGGCTGGTGTAAGGAGCTCTTTGGCCCCCACCCTTTCTCCCCATCTTCTTTCTCTCTTTCCTTTCCTCAATATTCCCTT